GAAGTAAAGACTTATAGGAATAGTCTAGATTAGTTTAGTTTGATTATTTAGAACATTTGTACAATGCAGAAATGCTGATATTTGAGGCAGTACTCATTTGTTAGTATATATCAAATAAACTACCGATACCTATATTTTATCTAATCTCAACTACAAATTAAACCTTCTGCTTACCACATATATTATCAATCTGCTTATAACATTTAAGCAACATAAAGAACTGACCATAACATTAGCATCATAATTACAGTATAGACCAAAAAAAAATTAAAGTTTGATGCATTTAATTCTATTATGTTATATATAAACTTTCAATCATCAGAAATAAAGATAAGGGACGAAACTCAAAAAAGGCAATTAATAAACAGCCGAAACTATATTAAAACATAGTGAGGGGTACGACGAAATCCTGAAACCCAAATTTAGCTGAAACTATATTTAAAACATAGTAAGAGATATGACGAAATTATTTTGAGGGAGTTTCAGCTGGCATCTTTAATCAGAAAAAATATTCAATTGACCAATATATATCATTATCATCATAAATTCCATTTTCTTGAAGATTTAACAAGGTTTTATACTTTTTTTTTCCTATATAAAGACAAATACCAATTTTTTTATTATTAATACAGTATATATAACTTAACAATTTAGTCTCAACAAATAAATTTAATAAAATTTAAATAACTACTTCTCATTCAAAAAAAAATGATAAACATAAGATTTAACCATAGGATAATAAAACAGAATAAAGTTATGTTTTCAGATTTTCTGTAAAATGATTTTTGATAAAGTAGTATTAATTTAAAGCTAGACAATTTTATTACAAAACTAATGTTCTTGGCTACTCAACATGTGATACATATGATCAGAATGCCTGTTATTTATTGGCTGATTTATATTTCATTATACTGACTATTTTTTTTTTTGTAGAATAAAAATATTATTATTTCTTATTCTACCAATATTAGCGAAACAATTAAAATATAATGTAGTAAATGTTCTTTTTAAAAAGAATTAATAAAGAACACTTTAAGAAACTTAACAAAGAAAATTGCCTTTGTTCAAATTTAATAAAAAACAAATTTATTATTTGATTTTTTTTTTAAATTTAAATTTAATTTGAAATTGCATTAATAAGTATATTTTATTTTTGATCATATTTTTACCTCAGTAAGAATATTCTTCAAGAATTATTTTAGAATGGAAATTTAAAGTTTTATTGATGGAAAAAGATTCTAAATAGAAAATTTTTTTTTTCTAAAATGAGCAAAAAAATGCTAACAATATGATGGGAAAATTGGCAAAATTTTTTTTAGTTTTTTAAAATCTAATACATAATGCGAAAAAGCATAAAAATAATACTATATATATTATAAAAATATAATACTTGAATGGTTAAAAATATATATGTATTGTATTAAATTTATTAAGCATTTTTATTATTGGTATTTTTATAATTATTAATTTTTTCTTTTTTCTTTACTTATAGCTGTGCAAGTAAATGCATTTAAACTAATTTACTAAATATTAACTGATTATAAAACTAAATTGAAAACTCAATGATAAGAATGATACTTTTTAATTGCAAATTCTGCTGCTTGACCTGTTAAGCTTTTTCAGTATATATTTATATAATGAAATGCTTTTTGTATACTAGCAGATAGTTGTAAGTGAGACAGAAGTAAAAGTTAAAGGAACTGTTTTTTATAATCCTATCTATGAGTAATTACAATGTAATTGACTAAATTTTTTAGCTGCATTCTAAAAGTTTTTAACATAGTTAAGCTCATAATAAAACTTGAAATAAAATACAATTTGATGTCTAACTATAATAATAATTTCTTCTAACTGTCCTTTTTGTGCTAAAAAGTCTAGTTGCTAATTCATTATTTCTTATACTTCTTTTAATTTTAACATCTCAATTGATCATAATCTCCTTTCTGTCAAAACTTATTTTAATCCTTTTAACTATTCATATAATTTAGAAATATAATAATCTAGTAAAAAGATCTTGTACTGTTGAATCCCTTCACCAAAATATATGCAGTGCATTTTTTGCTGCTTTTCATTAGGGCTGAGATTCATATTATTATACGAGTCAATTACGAAGTCTATTAATTGAAAAATAGACTTCAACACGTATAGCAAGGTTTTAGGTATCTGAAGGATAATAATTTAATTTAATAACTTTAAGAATTTGTTCACATTAATAAAACTATTAAATTAACAGTATATCAATTTATAAATACAGGGAATGTTGAGGATATATAATTATAAATTGGGAATACGTATAAATGCTTTGATATGATGGGAGAGCAATAATGATGGATTGGGTTTTAGGTCACAAGTTTAACAGATTAATGTTATAGGGATAATGTATGGTTTATTAATAAAATATAAGTGGATTAACACGATTCAATAAACTAAATAAGCTCTTGTTGGCGAACTTATCAATTTATGAATTTCACAATAAATTCTCTAATTAACTAATTAACTTTACTAGACTCAAATCTAACTGTTTCTAACTGTAACTATTTCTGCCTTCCTGTAACTACAACAATTTCCTATCCTATTTATATAAAATATTTGATCTACTTCTATTACTAATTTAAGATAAAGTAAAACTATTAAAACTAAAGAAACATTGTAAACCTCATTAACTTAGTTAACTTCATTAACTAATTTAACTAAATAAACATAAGAAACTAAATAAACTTAAACAACTATATAAACTTAGTTAATGACATTATCATCATTTCTGAGGTTTCGGTCATTTTGATCGTTGGACTGCGACTTAAGAAATTACGGCTTTCTTTAGTAGATATCTGCAGAATTATAATAGCAATCATACTTTTCAAATTATCTATGCTCCTATTGGTCTAATAACCTTGTATTTATATTCGTTGGAAAGCTCTCGATGAGATGGTTCTAATAATTGTATTTCAATTGAAATGTAATCATTAAGTCGAAAGTTATTTCATTTAACATTCCCCTTCTTAAAGAATGAGCTCTGTTAAATATTATCCAATGAATTTCAACATATTGTTTTCCTTATTATTAATTTCCTTATTTACGGATTTCTAATAATAAAGTTTCCAAATCATTTGAAATCATTCCATGTGATTATTAATTTTGTTGATCAATTGCGTCATTTCCAATTCAAACAGATTTTCAACCTAAGAGTAATCATATGATGATCAACAATAAATGTAAACCAATAATTATTTGTTTATTTTTCTGCAGGAGAGGAATTCTCATGATCTTGAGAATTTGCACAGCCACTTTTTTTTTTCATTATAAATATTTTGCTAAAAATCTCTTTTGTTTTCTTCATAATTTTAATATTATACTAAAATTATTGTAAAATTTTAAAGATGGGTAAATTTCAACGACAAAGATTTTTTAACAACTGACAAGCCAACATCTGTTCTTGATAGGAAGAAAACCACTGACAAATTATCGATGACCTAGAAGTTGAAGTTCACCAACTCCGACATCAACTCAGCACTGCTTTGAATCAAGTTGGAAATTCCATGACCGAAATTGAAAATTTGAATAATAGACTGACTGAAATTTCTTCTAATACTACTTCTGATAGATATAAAGCAAGAAATCAAACACTTAGAGATACTTATAGAAATCTTATATCAAGCTATAATGGTCTACGCTTTTGGTTGAACTATTCACAATCAGAGGTTACTTGGCTTCAAGATCTGGAAATTGTTTAATGAACCCAGACTTTAGCAAGGGATGTTGAAAGACTTCGGAGGAATTTTAACACACTTTTTAAGCACCTTCAAGAGAGGAGTGAGGAATTTAATTTTTCATTTAATGTTCATTTTCACGACTAATTACTATTAAATTCTATTTGAGGGAGATGCTGTACGCTTCGACTGACCTTGAACTACGCTTTATCATACGCTTTGGCTGTTCATGAGTCTACGCTCACCTTCCTCTTTTTTGTAGCGAAATATTTGTTTTTCCTTTTTGTTGTTAATATAGTTTTTAGATAGTTTCTTCATATGTCTATTTTATCTTCTTTGTTTTCTTCAAATTTTCTTTGTAATTTTCAAATATTCAATAAAACTCTCGCGTATTATCACACTTTTACCTATTAATAAATTTAACTGTGTCTAAAATGTAAAATCTATAAAAATACTAAATAATAAAATAAAAAATAAATAATAATAATAAAAAATAAAAAATAAAAATCTGAACTGCATTTTGAACTGCGTCACATTATCACTTTCTCCTTTAAGAAATGAGAACTGTGAATTAAAATAGTTGACATAATGTTTGATATTCAACTGTTTTTAATCGCTCAATTAAAAATAAAGTGGTGAATTTTGTACGATATATTTGTTGTAAATTGTCTTCAAAAATAAAATAAGTTCTTTCAGCTGCTCTTCTATAATATGGAGTTATATGTTATCTAATTAAATTTTTAGGAATATCGCATGTGTTAATCATCATAACTAAGTAATATGCATAAGTTAAAGTAGGGATACGTTGGTGTAATTTTGCAGATCTGATCATCTGCCTATAAATTGATTTCAATTTGAACTCGATTGAATCTGAGTCAAGATATGAAGGTGGGATTGTAAAGAGCTTTTGTGATTTAATTTCAAGAATATCGAGACTGATAAGATCGAATGGTGATGACATTTTTTGCTTAAACTTTTTAGATTAAGAAAATAGTCCTATATATATATTCTAGGTTCTAAAATGTTTTTGTAATACATTTTAAATCAATCACTGTGTACAAAATCCTTGACCAATCTTCCATTCATATTTCTTAATTTATAATTTTTGCCTTGTACATTATGTACAAAATATGGTCCTATCCAACGTTCCTTTAATTTAGCTGAGAAATTATTTTTCAGCCATGTGCGTTCCATTAATACTTTATCTCCAATTTTAAATTATTCAGCTGTTGCACTAATATCATGTCAATCCTTCTGTTTTCATTGATTCTCCTTAATTTGATTAAGTGCAATTTATCGATCATCTTCCAATTGGTTGATTATCTTAAATAATCTTTCCATTAATGCATCCTTAATATTTTTATTGTTACTCAATTCTGTTGGAATTATTAATTCAATAGGTAATGTTGTTTGACATCCATATAATAGGTAAAATGGTGTATAGCCAGTTGTATTATGTTTTATTGTCCTATAAGCAAATAAAACTGACTTTACATATTCGTCCTATTCTTTTTCTTTGTTCGCAATTAATTTGGCTAAGTATTCACCAATTGTACGATTGAATCTTTCAACCATACCATTTGTTTGAGGTCTATATGCAGAAGTAAGCTGGTATTTTATTTGAAATTTGTCACATAGTGCATTCACTATTTTATTTAGAAAGGAAGCCTATAAGAAATCGAAATAAGGAAATGATACGTTTTTTATAAGGTTTGTATACGTAATTAATGATTTTATATCAAAA